CGCTCCGACGAAGGGCTAACGCTCGAAACGTCAGCTTTTGTAATCGTTACGGTGGCCAATTTACCACTTCAACTCTGTTGATATATCCAAATTATTTCGTTACTCCCACCGACGCAGCCCCAAACAGTTTCTTTCAAAACTATCAGCCTTTAATTTAAAGTTAGCAGCACTTACATTTATCTGTGTTTGATCAGCCTTGGCAAGCCACCTTGAAACCGAAGTCCAAGTCTTTAAGACTCTCTCACTAAACCTACTCTATAGAACAAGGAATGGAAGAAATGTTTTCCTTTGTAGAAAGGTGTTTTTTCGTCTAGTCACAAACGTGGGAAAAAGATATAATGTCCGGGTCCCCATGAGGAATCGAACCCCAGACCTACAGATTCCGCGGCCCGATATTCTATCGCTGAGCTTAAGAGACTATGGCGAGCAAGGTCCATTACGAAGTTCGTATAGGATACGCCTCCTGCAAACTGTCCCACACTCGTGACTAGAAGAAAAAACTTCTCTCTATATTTCTTTACCGGGCTCAAAACTTACCATCCTTATTCTTTACAAAAAAAAATGTTTTCTGTTTATCTTTACAAAGCGCTTCTTCTATCCCTGCTTCTAAATTTTGACTAGTTCACGTTTTTACCATGAGGAATCTATCTTACACTATTTGCCATAAACAGGGACGGAAATGAAGGCTTCGTTTCATCGAACTAGTTCTGGTCTGCGCTGTCTATAAGAGTCCGAGGGAGGTCATTTCTGATGGTGCATCGTCTATGTCCCAGCTCCCTTTCCCATTTTATATCTCATCGGTATTGAAAGAGAGAGACCACGCGTTTTGTCTATCATAATTATTTTTCAGCAACAAGTCATCCCTATCCCTGGAAGTGGGAGTTGCATACTGGTATTGTTCCCCAAGGAGAAGATTATTTTGAATACTTACCAGTAGGCGCTGCCCTGTGGCCCTCCTTGCAAGGGCTGCAGGGGTTGAGAGAATATCTTACCTTAACCATTGAGAACGTCTCTGGGTTTCACTTCAGCGATTTGAAGGTATATGTCTGACATAACTCACGATGGAAAATTAAAAATCGAAAACTAAGAAGCTCCGAAATATAATGTATCGTTAAATGTATAAAAAGTTATAAATAGCACTGGGATTGGCCTGAGTTCGACCTTGCAAGATATTTGTTATTATCGACCAGTGGCTGAAATCAAACTTAGAGAGTACAGAGGATGCTTGAAAGATATTTTATGGGCTTAGAGAATTGATTCAGCGTTCTCGGTAAAAGAAGCAGATAGAACAGATTACGAGACAAAAAGGAATTGACAAACTTTCCAGAGTTGATCTCACTTACAATTGGCGAAGTACTAAGAGAGACATAGAGTAAAAATTCACGCCCTCCGTTATCCAGGATTTTAGAAAATTAAAGTATTCTTCACCAGAAAAATTCCACGTCTTACTTTCTTTGTTATCCAACTTCTTTTGCATTTTAAGGGAGGCTAGTATGCGTCGTAAGTTGAGAGAGGCCTAGAAAGTGAAAAGCGGTGTATAAAAAGTACAACACATGATTAGTGTTTCTATCTTTTGTGCGATAAATGTCATTTGACCTGCTGCGTCTTAAAAAGTAAATGATTCTCGTGGGCGAGCAGGCATTTAAGGAATTTTCCCCTCCCTCCCCCCCAAAAAAAAGCCCGAAAAAAATTCAGCCTTCGACGGGATTAATATCCATGCTTTTTAGTTACTTTCGGTAGTGGTGCTCAAATAGTGTGTGGAGGTTCCGGGATTGAATCCCGTTGAGGGCTGAATTTAGCTTCAGGCTTTTTTCTTGGAAATTACGGAAATTGCAGCTCATAATCACCTACGCGGATTATTGCTTTACTTAATTAATTTTATTTTTTTACTTTAGGACGTCGACGTCGTTGAAGCGGAAGCAAAACGGGCTAAGGAACTGGCTGGGAAAGCTATTAAACAACTTAAGTGCGAGCTGCAGGTCCTGCATGGAGATAATGAGCCAATCAGGAAAGTTTTGGAGGGAAAATTGACGTTTGCTGTAAAAGAGACTGTGAAGAGTATTGTCGATGGAGCAGAACCAACTGTGGAAACCGTGAAAGAGTGGATCAATATGGACAGACTTGCCTATGGATATCCTGAACTGGAAAGAACAACGGAAAGGAGACACCAATACGCAACTGCAGTTCTTAGTGCTTGTCAGCGCGCAGTGAACATTCAGCAGTAAAGTAAATTTATGCGTTTGTTTTATTTTGAAGTGTGCTATTCTGAGAAAACATAATTCCAGACGTTCAAACTCCTTTCAAATAAGTAATTTGTAGTATAGCGTTAATTTCGTCAACATTTGAACAGTCTATGCTACTAGAAAAACAAATTTTAAGTGAGATATTTCTTAGTGGGTGAACCCAAATTGTCCCGATTTTAGAATCTGTGGTTAATGATTAGAACATATGATATAAACTAAGTAAAACAGACAGAACTGAACTGCCCACGATGAACACATGTAAATAGATTCTAATACAAATTACTATTGATTGGTTAATATTTTTAGATATCTTCTTAGGCGCTAGATAGTGTTTGAGACCACCAATGATGTAACTGAAATGATCAAGGAGAATCGTGTTTAGTGTAACTTCCTCTGTATGTTGTGACAAACGATTATTTAAGAGTTTTTCAATAAAAAAAGCGCACCCACTTTGTAAAGCTAGTTGGAAGCTCACGGTGTAAATATTGTTATCAGTGGCGGATCTAGGTGAGGGGCCCGGGCTCACCCTTATTTTGAGTTCAAAACAAACGCAGAAGGAAGAAAGGCCGGCGGGTGTACAAACAAAACCCCCTCCCCCCCTCACCCTTAGCGCAAGGCCTAAATCCGCCCCTGGCCACTGGTCATGTACGAACTTTCTGAAGTCCTATTTTGACTAAAACTTTCGCTGTTATTAACATGGACCCATCTTCAGAGAATTTATGCTTGTATTTTTTTAGAAACGAGGATTTGCAAAGAAACGAGTGTCTTATTCTATCGTTTTATACATTTTTCTTTTAATTCTTTCAGCCTCTTACAGCTTTTCAGTCGCAACCTCGTTCCCAGGGTTGGTCCCTCATTCGGGGGTTGATGGAAAATCCCCGTGAACGAGGTTGGTTCAGTCGGTAAAACAAAACGAAGTTAGTGAACGGAGGGATAGTAGTGGTTGAAGTTGCGTAAAAAACGCCGTCCTTACGTTAGGCGCCGACGCATATTGTCCTCGTTTCTTTTGCCCCGCCACCACTATCGCGTTGTTCTGTCACTATTCCGCTCCTTTTCAGTAACTGAACGCCTTGCAACAGGATACTTTTTGTTTGGTAGTCCTTTTAGAATGAACATCCTGAGGCCATTCTATTAAAATTGTAAAACTACCTTTTTATTGAGCCGTTCCATCTCTGTTCACTTCAAACAAAGCAAAAACTAAAGCCTTGCGTGCATGGATGTATATTTAAGATACACGCTTGGCATTGATTGTCTTATGATACTTTAAAAATAGGTTCATCCTTTTCGGTGTTCCCTCTATCGCTTCAGCTCTTTCGGTTCATTTATATATTGATCTTCTATCTATCGGTCTATTTGACACTGATGTCATCGCCACGTTTCAGCTTTGCATTTGGCAGAGAAGTTTCAATTGAAGAAAAGTACTTTCCTCAGAACGACACCACTTCCTATTTACAAAATATTTAAGATAGTACTCTCCCTCTCATTCGTCAATAAGTGTGTTTAGATGAGAGTATGCAAATACTTTTGTATCGTCACTAAATGTTTTGTTTTAACTAGTTATTTTTAGGATGTATTTTAGAAATCTGAATCCATTTTCCCAGCCCCGAGTCTAGATAAGGCCATGCCTAGACAGAAAAATTCCTCTTTAGTATTAATAATAGAGGCAATCATACTTTTTTGTGTTTTCTGTCCGTCAGTTACTTTTTTAGTAAAATATTGCTCTATGTAAATGAGATCAGAGACGGAGAGGTCATCTATAATAATAATAATAATAATAATAATAATAGAGGCAATCATACTTTTTGTGTTTTCTGTCCGTCAGTTACTTTTTTAGTAAAATATTGCTCTATGTAAATGAGATCAGAGACGGAGAGGTCATCTATGGGATACGTATATCGAAACGCCGACGGCGCAGTATGAATTGAAAGCACTTAAAAAGCCGTTTCCAAACACAGTTGCTATTCGGATTTTTTTCCGGCGTTAAAAACGTTTTTGAAGCGTACATCGAAAAGGACGAGAAAGCTTATTTCGAAACCGCTTACAAAGACATCTGAGGTATTCGTTTCATGGAAGGAAAAGGAAGAGGTAAGAAATTCTTTGACAGAGAAGTGATTTTATTAACTAACGGCGCATAGGATAATAAATAGTGCTTTAGTTGACGAAAAACATCGAAAGTGTCGAAGGAATTACAAAGTCTGATGTGTCAAATTTATCAAAAGCATTTA